GAATAAGCAGAAGCTTTACCACAGTATTTAAACCAAGATATACCCTGCAGTATAATAAAATGTCACAGGCTTGTAAAACAAGTAATGGTATCTTTACTTTAGTTCAAAAGTTCAAATAGGGTAACAATATATACACCAGTCTCTTTGAATTCAGGTAGAGAACAGAGAGAGCAAAACTGTCCTTTTAAATAGTTTTTTTAAAATAAGCTTCATGCCTTAAAATGATCAGTCTTTAAGACAGTTGGCAGCCAGTACTTTCCCTTCACAGTCCAAACTGAGAAATGGCAGTTAGAACCGTTGGTCTCAGCAGCTAGTTAGAGGCAGCAGCCAATCAGAACTCTGGCTCCTAGCATGCTCAGCCAATCAGCTGCTGACATATGCCTCTCCAGTAGACCCACCATATCATGGTGTCCTTTTTCAAATCCTCACAGTATTAACCAGGTATATAAACCAAGTAAAGATGATTCCCATCACATTCTGCAGTGATCTAAGGAAACAATAGTGCTGTTGTCTAAAGCTTTAATGGCTGGAATCTCTGGGTTGCTCTGCGTTTTCTGGGCTGTATGGCCATGTTCCAGAAGCATTCTCTCCTGACGCTTCACCCACATCTATGGCAGGCATCCTCAGAGGTTGTGAGGTATATTGGATATATCTCACAATCTCTGAGAATGCCTAACATAGATGTGGATGAAATGTCAGGAGAGAATGCTTCTGGAACATGGCCAAACAGCCTGGAAAACTCACAGCAACCCAGCAATAATGCTGTTTGCAGAGAAAGTGCTGCTGGAAAATAAACTGTGTCTCTATTACAATGTTGTTATTCACAGCCCCTCAATGTGGATAGATCTATACAGGGCTAAAGTGATGAGTGCATCCTGACTGTAAGAAGCTGCAGATTATAAATTTGCAAGGTAGCTTGAAAAGACAAGAAAATGGTATAAAGGACAAACACAGCTGCATGAAGATCCTACTCAAATTTGCTCAGCTTTTATTGAAACTAATAAGATTTACTTCCCAGCAATAGGATTAAGCTCAACATAAAGCAGCGTCATAAAATGGGCCTTTTAAGCTGCATGAATTGTCCAAGCCACACTTATTTAAGGGTCAATCCTAAAGTTATTTTGCTACCACCAAAGTGCCTAGCTTTTTTGACTCTAAGGAACAGAAGATATAATGGTCTGTTTTGTCAAATTTCAGAAATACACATGCAACCTCTCTAATATTTTCTTTAGCTCTATAATCAAACTAGTAATGCATTTCAAATGGAGAATGTCTGCAATATTGGAAATTCCATAACCTATTGGAAATAAGTGAAGAGAAAACCTATCTTTATCTCTCTCTATTGCCCCCTGGTGGCATTTATGCATGATGGTACCTTTCCACAAATTCTCACCAAGTGGATTTCTAATATTTGTACAAGGCATCACTCTCCTTAATAAGCCAGAACTAATGTGTTGTTCAGTGGAGAATTTGCTATTTAAATAACTTTATTTTTAATGCATTAAGAACCCCAAAAAAGGAATTCTTAAGGAATGTGGGTTGCTGTGAGCTTTCCAGGCTATATAGCCATGTTCCAGAAGCATTCTCTCCTGATGTTTCACCTACATCTATGGCAGGCATCTTCAGAGGTTGAGAGGTCTGTTGGAAACTAGGCAAGTGAGGTTTATATATCTGTGGAACGTCCACGGTTGGAGAAAGAACTCTTTGTTTGAGGCAGGTATGAATGTTGCAATTGGCCACCTTGATTAGCATTGAATAGCCTTTCAGCTTTAAGGGCTGGATGTTTACTGCCTTGGGGATCCTTTGTTCGGAGGTGTTAGATGGCCCCGATTGATTCATGTCTGGAATTCCTCTTTTTTTCTGAGTGTTGTTCTTTATTTACTGTCAACAGGAAGGAGGAAACCATGAAAATGAACAAAATCTGGCTACCAGTATTAGAAACTCTAAATTCAGAGGAAACCTTTACCTTTAATAGTACAAATAGCCATCTTCAGGAATTTCAATGCAATCATACGATTCCAAAATTAATAAATTACCAACACAACTATTACATGCTACCTCTTAACAAACCCTGATCCAATATAAAAAGGAAACATGGAAGTGCACATGTGCATGTATAAGATACAGTACAACCCCCTCATATCCATAGGCCAAATCTATCTATCTATATATAAATGCTCTGTGCATAATGAGTACCTTAAAAACAAAAGAACCAATGAACAAAATCACACAAAATTTGGCAACAAAACATCTCACAACACAAGGAGTGACCATCACTCAAGAAATTATGATTTTGTCATTTGGGAGTTGTAGTTGCTGGGATTCATAGTTGACCTACAATCAAAGAGCATTCTGAACCCCACCAATGATGGAATTGAACCAAACATGGCACACAGTTCTCCCATGACCAACAGAAAATACTGGAAGGGTTTGGTGGACAGTGTCCTTTAGTTTTGGAGTTGTAGTTCACCTACATCCAGAGATCACTGTGGACTCAAACAGTGATGGATCTGGACCAAACTCTACATGAATACTCAATATGCCCAAATGTGAACACTGGTGGAGTTTGGGGAAAATAGAATCTTGGCATTAAGAGAGCTGTAGTTGCTGGAATTTATAGTTTACCTACAATCACAGAGCATTCTGAACCCTACCAATAGAATTGGGCCAAATCTCCCACACAGAACCCTCATGTGGGCCACAGCAACGTGCGGCAGGGGGATGGCTAGTGTTCCATGAAAATGCAAATAACTATGAACCTTATATTTTGATATATTTGGGCCAGAATTGCACTGGAAGACATAGAGAGGTCCACAAACACTACTGGGGGGGGGGGGGGAATAATTTTTGAAACATGGATATGTGAAACTATGGACATCAAATCTACAGTTGGATTGTATTGTACTTTAAGAAGCATCCTGTTTGGCTAAGCATAATGTAGTAATTCCATGTGTAGAACTACATTACTACTAGCTATTCCCCACCTTTTAGACTATAACCCCCAGTTGTTCCATCCTGTGTGTAATGTTGCATTGGAGAAACACCAGGCTATGTCCCCACAACCAGATGTGACATGTCAACATCATCCACTGTGACCAGTGACTTATGAAGGTCTCAACCTATACTGGAATGATTTTATGTCCTTCTGCAGGAACATACAGATTTTCTTTGATCTCCTCCCCAGTTTCCACCAGTCACAGAATAATTATTTCAGCAATCCTCTTTGTATAATGTCTGATGGAACCCCATAAGATGTGTTATATTCCAAGTGGTCTGTAGGTAAAAGAACAGCCATTTTGGATCCCCTCCCAAGGTGTTTTCTATGCACCATCAACTGATCCAGAACTAGTTCTGACCAAAGGAAGCTAAAAGTGTTTAACTTCTAGTGTGATGAATCATCACTAATCGGTTTATGCTCCTCTGATGATGTGCTCTTATCCGGTACCATAATTTTCCCCTGTTGCTAGGCAGCAAACGCAGTCACTGTTTTCATCAGCCCTCCCTCCTGAGACTGTAGCTGTCATTCAGTGTGGCTAGAGACATCATGGCACATCTGTAAGTTCCATAAGGATGTAGCTATTTGGAAAAATAATTATATAGAGTCTAGACTTTTAGATCAAGGTTTGACATAGGAGGAAGCAGACAGATGATACAGATGAATAGAAGCTCCTTTTTGCCACAGCCAGATGATGAGGCACACCAATAATTTCACCCTCTCCCTACAAGGCATTAACTGTCAGTCTACCCATAGGATGAAGAGGAAAGCTTTAGAATACATGCTTCAAACTAGGCTCGCGGGCTGAATCTGGCCCGTCATGTCATTTTATGTGGCCTACCAGATGCTGGGCTACAACTCCTGTAGATATAACTAGAGCTGATGGGAGTTGTGGTACACTAAGATCTGGAAGGCTGCAGTTTGTTCTGCTTAGTCAGGATAGTGGAGTTTGAATTTCGATACAAGGCTAGTGGATATGATGTCTGACATTAAGATGTCCTTTCATTTTCCCTCAACCTCAGAGCCACAAGTGCGGTTCGACTGTAATTCCCATTATCCTCTCTGTATGTTGTTGTTGTTCATTTGTTCAGTCGTTTCCGACTCTTCGTGACCTCATGGACCAGCCACGCCAGAGCTCCCTGTCGGCCATCACCACCCCCAGCTCCTTCAAGGTCAATCCAGTCACTTCAAGGATACCATCCATCCTCTTGCCCTTGGTCGCCCTCTCTTCCTTTTTCCTTCCATTTCCCCAGCATGTCTTCTCCAAGCTTTCCTGTCTTTTCATGATGTGGCCAAAGTACTTCATCTTTGCCTCTAATATCCTTCCCTCCAGTGAGCAGTCGGGCTTTAATTCTTGGAGTATGGACTGGTTGGATCTTCTCGCGGTCCAAGGCACTCTCAGAATTTTCCTCCAACACCACAGTTCAAAAGTGTCTATCTTCCTTCACTCGGCCTTTCGTATGGTCCTGTTCTCACACCCATGTTTACCATTGCTATGCAGATTTTTGTATAGTGGACAATAAAAAATGATGGAAGGTGTAACTCAATAACATCTGGGGATCTAAATCAAGTAAAAACTAAAAAACGCCAACCACTATTTACAAAAATTATAGTTGGCCCTCTGTTTCCACGGATTCTCTCTCAATCCCTTAGATTCAACGGCCCTCTGAAGGCAGCCAGAAGGCTGATCTGGCCCTTGATGAAAATGAGTTTGACATCTCTGATTTAAAAGAAAAAAAATAAGTCAGATAGCAACTGTTCCGATGGAAATTAAGTTATGGGGAACAGATTATGATTGTTTTGGGAAAATATTTAATTAAGTCTTATTTTTTTTAGGCTAGCCCTAATATATTTCTACAGGAAATATAATTACGACAGAAGCTATTTATGAATGAAGCTCTACCCTGAGTGAAAACCAGCAAAAATAATTTTGTATTTTAAGTACATAATTCCATACTATAATGATTTGGAAATATGCCTTACTGAATGTTCACTCATTACACACTTTAAATTACATATCATAATTCTTTAATTGGATAACGAACTTTTTAGTGATTACCTTGACAAAATACAGGAGTTTTTATATTACAAATTGTGTAAAAATAGATGCACTTAGAAAATCTATATATTAGATGTCTCATTAAAAAAATGCATCAGAAAGATTTATTTGACAAACCATGGCATGTTTCATTAAAAGTCCACATGAGATATCATTTGACCGTCTTGCTAAGATTGGAAAATCCTACGCCGACACATGTCATTAACACCTTTTCACCACCTTTGCGTTCTTCTCCTGGTGATTTGGTTTCAATTTTAAACATAACCTGGAAAAAACTTCTCAAATGTCGCAGAAACTCAATTCTGAAAAGGAAAAGAAAAGAAGTTGAAGATGAGTATGCAAAGACATCCTAAAGTATACCACGGTTAGTATGGACAGCATCTGAATTATAGTACGATAGGGGAGCAAGGCCTGTCTCAAATGGCAACAGTCTTCCAGGCCTCCCAAGAAGGACTTCAAACTTTTAGAACAGGAAAAATGCATAGAAAAATGGGTAACGCTCTCCCCCCAAATGATGGGGAGATAGGGATAGACTAGAGCATGGTCATTCCAAAGTTTGAGAAGGTCTGCAGTTCTTCAGCTCTGCTTTAGAGTCCTGGTCATGGAGGTTCTTCTCAATTCCTATGTCATGTTTGGGAGTTTATTTCATAGCAATAGTAAGTAGATTATTCACACAACTGAAAGCCAGAGAAGGTCTTTAGACAGTAGGTTAATTTCCAGCTGCAGTAAATCTTGCCAACCGAAAGGCTGACAGTTCAAAGCCCGGGTTGGAGTGAGCTCCTGGCACTCAGCCCAGCTTCTGCCTACCTAGCAGTTCGAAAACAGCAATGTGAGTAGATAAATAGGGATTGCTTTACAGCAGGAAGGTATTTAAGGCACCCATAAGGAAATGCCAAAAAATGCCAACAATTTGATCAAGGAGGAAGTTTACGAACAAAGCTCTTCGGCAGGGAAAATGGAGCGACAATACCACCACCCTCCCGTGGCCGGAACCGAGCAAGGCCTCCAAGATGCTGAAGATGGTAAAAAGCCTATATATCTCTATCTATATATAGTTGTCTGTCTTGTCAATGTATAACGACATTGAATGTTTGCTGTATATGTGTTCTCGGTCCCCTTCAAGGTGAAAAGGGCGGAATATAAATACTGCAAATAAGTAAGTAAGTAAATAGCCTGTCCCATTAACTGATTCCAATGAACTGGACTACAAGGGCCATTCCTACCATGCAGGAATATACAATTAAAGCATTCCTAAAAGATGGCCATCCAGCTTCCCTTTAAAGAGCTCCAAAGGAAAAATCTTTAAATAATTACAGATCTATTGTCGAAGGCTTTCATGGCCGGAATCCATGGGTTGTTGTAGGTTTTTCTGGAACATGGCCATAKAGCCCGGAAAAACCTACAACAACCCAATTACAGATCTAATTACATAAGGAGAACAACATAGAAAGAGCTGCTCACAAAAGGTGACCACAAGTTCTACASCAGGGACTGAGGTTATATGGCCTCTCTGGATATTGTTGGACTGCAGATCTCAGCAGGCATAAACATTTTAGCCAATGGCGAGGAACAATGGGAGTTTCAAGCCAACAACATCAGAGGCCTCACAGAATCCCCACAGTTGCTCTATATCAGTGGTTGTTTTGGTCCACAGTGTTGTTTTGGCCCACAACTCCCTGAAATCCCAGCCAGTTTACCAGCTGTTAGAATTTCTGGGAGTTGAAGGTCAAAACATCTGGGTACCCACAGGYTGAGAACCATTGCTGTCCAGTGATGCGCAGTGACAACTTGCCGAATGCACCATTYATAGGAATACATTGGTTATTATATGTTTTAATGTTTTTTATTGTATTGGTTTTATATTGATTTTATAATGCTGTTTTAAATGTTTTAATTGTATATTGTGGATTATTATGGCATCAAATTGCTGCCAATTTGTAAGCCGCCTTGAGTTGCCTTAGGGATTGAGAAAGGCGGGATAGAAATATCATAAATAAAAAATAAATAGAAGAAATGACGTAGCAGGACTTGCATGAGAGTTGAGTATTCAGGGAAACCCCTCAAAATCATACTGGCACCAATACATGGCATTCTGAGCATCTATACTTTTAAGGAGATTTTTACTAAGAGGCACTTCCACTCCTAAAGATAAATCATTTTCATGTTACCAAACAGGACTTTTTAATCTAATCCACTTTTAACTCCAGATTAGAATCCCAAGGCTAAAAACAGCACAAGCCAGTAAGGCACAGGACACTTGGTGGGTTTGCTCTTTGGCAGATGCCTACAGGGTTGAAGCTGAAGGCAGATTAAGGCTCTGATACCACACCAGTTACCATATTGCAGGGAAATTGGTATTCATGTTGTGCAGACAGAAATTAAAAATCAGGCATTCATGCTTATCAGGAGCAATTACATGGTGCTGGAAGATTTCATTAGGCATCACTAAACCCATAAGAATTAAGTCTTTTGTATGCAGACTTTGTCTGAGCTCCTACACAGGTTTTGATTGTTGACTATTTTTTCTATTTTCACCCTTGAAAGCACACACACAAATACTAAACAGCACATTCAGATGCAAGATTACATTTGTGGCTGCTTATTTTTGAAAAGAAAAAGATTACTTGGAAGTATGATAGAGGTGAACAACATTAAGCACAGTGCGATTAAGTAGCCATGGAGAAGATTTTCTTCATAACACCAGAATGCAGGGTCACCTAAGAAACCTGAATGATGGGAAATTCAGGTAACATAAAAGGAAGTGCTTCTTTATACTACACATGGTAAAACTGTGGAACTCACTGCCACAAGATGGATTGCCAGTTTGGATGGCTTTAAAAGGAAATGGTATGAAGTTGTGTGTGTTGAGGCCATTACTAGATACTACTCAGGATGGGTGTACATCACTTCCAGTATGAGAGGCAGTTTGTCTTTCAATCGCATGAGACAGAACATGTAGATCAGTGGATCCCAACCTTTTTTTGACCAGGACCACTTGACCAGGGACCACTCTCCAACATTAGTACAAAAGGGTTAAAAATCAGTTTTTGGTCAACTTTAGATTTGCTTTGGCTATTTGGGATGCTGATTCAGAAAATTGCATTGGGTAGACCACATCAGCTGTAGTTTCTGATACAGAACATAAGTCATCCGGTCGTTGCCATCTGCAGGCCCACAGAAAACCACATTTAATAAGAGGGTTTTGTTAGAACAGTCACTTTAGTTGCAATGGTGTAGTAACAGTGAGGCCGCAGACCATATTTTAGTTCTAGCGGACCACTGGTGGTCCACGAACCACTGGTTGGGAACCACTGATGTAGATGGATTCATACCTTGTTGGTTGGCAACTTACTGGCTGGTGGGTAAATTAATATACAGAATGGTGGATTTAGATTGGCCTCCACTCTGATCCAGCAAAGCTTATTCAGACACATATAACACCGTGCTTAATGGAGCTTACACCAAACAAAGTGTTTATAGGATTCAGGATGTGGAAGCAATGAGTCACAGGCAGTAAAGCTACTTCCAATGAGCCATCTTTCTTAGCACAGCAGTGTAAATTACATTTCAAAAATAACATTTCCAGTGAAAGAGAAACCATTCTGTCAGTGCAAAAGCTTTTGATCATTTTTAACCCTTTTAAGGAGATTTTGGACGCATTATGGCTTTCAAAAAAATTATGCCATTTTCTCCTCAATCTTAATGTTTCTTAAGTTGTATGGCTTATCATGGAAATGACATCTAATGACATTCTACCCTCCAGTTGTGAAAGAACTCCATCTGAACATAAGGAAGCACTTCCTGACTGTGAGAGATGTTCAGCAGTGGAACTCTCTGCCCTGGAGTGTGGTGGAGGCTTCTTCTTTGGAAACTTTTAAACAGAGGCTGGATGGCCATCTGTCAGGAGTGCTTTGAATGCAATTTTCCTGCTTCTTGGCAGGGGGGTTGGACTGGATGGCTCATGACGTCTCTTCCAACTCTATGATTCTATGATCCTTATTTGAATTTAGATACTCTGCAGCCAGGCTTTCTGGGATATTGTAACTGTGACATCTACTAGGAGCATCACTCTTCAACATTGAGGAGTTAAGCATGTCTGTAGCATGCCTTTCTATAGGGGCTAATGGTATTCTGAATATAATGTTTGGGTCTCAGCTCTTATGTAGACAGTTACATGTATAAAGGAAGAAAAAAAACATTTTTCCATACTTTAAAAGGAAATATAATCTCAATCAGGTACGGGCAAAGTGAGAACAGATACTATCTTTGTAAAACTGTTTTTTGTGCTCCACAATCTGCCCAGAATCTCTTGACCACCGTTTTTTTGCCCTTCCCCACCTAAACTGTCTTTCCTGGAAGTCTCTAAACATAAGAATGTACTTTTTTAATAGGTTGCAACCCCCCTTGCACTGCTAAACATCAAAAATGACCCATTTTTCAAAACTGAGTTCCAGCCATTTCTACCCATCATTTCTGGCATTTCCTCCAGCCCCTGTGGCTCAAGAAGCAGAAATTGGTCTCCAGAACTACCAGTTTCCTATCAATGTACGGACTTGTTGTCCAAGGCTTTCATGGCCAGAATCACTGGGTTGCTGTGAGTTTTCCAGGCATGTTCCAGAAGCATTCTCTCCTGCATATTATTTGAAAACACAGAAATGCTGGACCAATCTAATAACCACCATATCAGGCTACACAGAAAAGCCATTGAAATCCACAAGCATGTGGACAATTTCAACAGAAAGGAAGAAACCATGAAAATGAACAAAATCTGGATACCAGTATTTTAAAAAACTCTAAAATCAGGGCAGTAAATAAAGAGCAACACTAAAAAAAACAAAAACAAAAAACAACAGGGGAATTCCAGACATGAATCAATCAGGGCCAGCTAACACCTCCCAACAAAGGAGCTCCCAGACAGCACTCTGCCAGGCTTTGAAGCTACAAGGCCATTAAATGCTATTTAGCCGTGTTTTTAGCCCTAGTATTTTATTCTGTACTTGCAGCCCGCTTTCTGTGTTATGTTTTGTTTATGAATTATTTTATTGTAATTTTATTTTGTTTGCTGTGTCCTTATGTTTTATGCTTTATGTATTTTATTATGTTGTTGTTATGTTTTGATTTCATTTATTGTATTGCGTTGTTGGGCTTGGCCTCATGTAAGTCGCCCCGAGTCTCCACTGGGAAGATTATTATTATTATTATTAACTTTATTTGTACCCCGCTAGCATCTCCCGAAGGACTCTATGCGGCTTACAAAGGCCAAGGCCTCAAAACACAACATAGCAATACAACACCTAAAGCA